CGTTACGACTTTGCCCCAAGCGCAAGAATACCGGATGAAGCGCCCGCCGATTGGACCTCGCCCCGGACGTCACCACCCCGCTTGTGGCAAAAACAGAAGGAGACGCGCGCGAGGCGACACAGCCGCCTCCACATCAGTCACCGCCACATACTAGCGAGCACCAGCGCCGCCCATGTGTGTCCGCTGCCGACTCACCTTCGGACTCGCCGACTCCTCCCGCGAAAACAGAGGCGTGGGGAGGCCGAGCACCGCGCCCCGAGGGTTTCGACGTGGGCGGCAGGCCGTCGTGAAACAAACCGACGGGCGCGCAGGGTCGACCAAACAAACGACAAGAAGCCGGACCGGGCCTTCGAAGCGGCTCCTCCCTCACCTCCCTCACCCTCCCCGCCAGCCTCTTCGCCCAGTGACGGTCTTCTGCGGCTGCTCCGCCCTCACCTCCGTCACGCTGCCCGACAGCCTCACCTCCATCGGCAAGCAACGCCGCCTTCCGCGGCTGAGCCGCCTTCGTCCGCACAACTTGTAAGCCCGCCGGCCTCGCCTCCATCAACAGCTTCGCCTTCTTCGGTGCAGCACCTCCCTCGCCCGCGTCACCGTGCCAACCACCGCCACCATCGGCGAGGCCGCCTTCTCACCCGCCACCGCCGTCCTCCGCCTCCCGCCCGCAGGTATGCGCAACCTTCGCAGCGCTGGTTCGAGGCGGTGGACGGGGCTCTGGCCTACAAGCGCTGCCGCTCAAAACCTCTACGGCTGCGGCCCGGATGGCGTGGCGCGCCAGCGCAACCTCGAGGCGTTCGAGGCGATTTTGCGCAGCCCATGGGCTCCACCGTGAGCGCCTGGGGGGACGCGCACTGTCGCGTGCGTCCTTCTGCAGTCGCCCTCGCCCTCGCCGAGCCGTGGACGTTGCGTGAAGAATGCGCGCTTCGGTGCTTTGCATCTCCTAAAGTCACTACGCTCGGAAGTGTTTGTGCGCGGGGCGAGCCACACCTGGTGTTGTGTGCAGCCCTGCCCCTGGTGAAGCCCGCTCGGTGTGTGTGTTCTCGTGCGCCCCGTCGGCCATGCTCGCAGCAGGCCCGCGTCGCCGCACGTCGCAGCTCAGGTCTGGCTCGCTCGCGTGTGCGGCGCTGCAGCGGCCAGCGCGCGAGGTGCGGGGGGGGTCGGTAGCCCGTAGCCGGCGTCGCGGGAGTAGCCCACGCGAAGATGTGTGGCGCCGCGCAGCGTACTCTTGTTTTTGTTCACTACGACGCCGCGCGCAAAAGCCAAAACCCCTATTTCTATCTCCATGGTGGCGACCGGGCCACACGCGCCGCGTGCCGCAGGTGAGCACTCGGCAGGGTGAGATAGGGTCGCCGGGCGGCGCCCGCCCTGCGGTCTTCTTCTCTCGCGCCCCGGTCGTCCCCCCATCGCGCCGGCGCGCGCGTGGGGCGTGGCCGCCCCCCCCCCCCCAAAACACCGCTCCTCTGAGCTCACTCCTCCCCGGCGGCATAGTACGCGTCCGTCGGCTCGTGCGCCTAAGGTCAGACGCCAGGCAGACGCGCTCAACACGCACACAGTGCTCTCTTCAGCCGACCGCCGCATCGGGTGCGCCTGCGGCTGGAGTCGCGCGCGCTCGTCGTCGTTCCTCCGGTACCCCCCCGGCACCGCCCCAAAGCTGGGCAGCCCGCCCCCGGTGGCGTTGTCGGCCGTCGGGGCGAGCGAGTAGGGCGTATGCGCAAGGTCCCCCCGCGGCTGACCCGGCGCGAGCCCGCCTCCTCCGCCCCCGCCGCCTCCTCCCCCGGCGCCGCCCGCAGTCGAGTTGAGCAGCACGAGGGAGAGGAGGATGCAGGTCCAGACAGCGAGGAAGCCGTTGACAGTCCTCGTGAAATCGTGCGGCAGAAAGGTGATGACGAGCCCCTGCGTCCACCAGCCGGCCGTCGCCAGCGAGACGATCCGCGCCTGCTGCGCCGCCAGCCCCGGCTGGCTCAGAAGCCCACCGCACCCCGCCGCCGAGACGAGGCCCACAGCGAGCGCCCACGCGTCCACGCCTGAGCGGCTGTGCACGTAGCTGCAGAATGCCTGCAGCGCCACGACGGCGGAGCCGATGCAGAGGAGGAGGAGGAGTCCAAAGTCCCCCTTGGCGAGGCGAACGAAGCGGTCGACGGCGCGCGCCAGGTGGCCCGAGTAGGGCAGCGCCGCCGCGACGCTCGCAAACAGCGCGCCCCACGTCGAGAGGTGCCCGTTGCCGAGCGTGGTGAAGGGGCCGGTGAAGGTGAGGCCGAGGCAGGCGAGCGACCACCAGGCGAGGAGGAAGCGTGTGGCGTTGGGCGCAAACGTGGCAGGCAGCGGGGTGGGCAGCTTGACGGCCAGCGTCAGCGCGAGCAGCAGGCCGGAGAGCGCTGCGGAGACAGCGCCAGCGGCGATGCCGGCGGTGGAGGAGAGCGAGGCCGCGGCGACGAGTTCAAACGTGGACGCCAGGACCAGCGCTGCCGCAGGTCCAACGTCGCTGCTGGCTGGTGCTGCGCCGCCGCCGCCGCCGAAGAGCGGGGCAGCGTCCATCGCAGGCCCGCGGTGAGCGATGAGTGCGATTCGGACACGGGTTGTTGAGGGCTTTTTTTTTGACGTTAGCCTTCGATGAAACATAAGCAAGGCGTGAGTGTGTGCGTAGTGTGTGACTAAAGCGCCGTCGCAACTGCCATGTCGGCAGGTTGTAGGCTGCTGCTCTCGCCCCGCTGGCGGCGCGGACCGGTGCCGCGGCTCCGAGCCTTCCTGTGGGCCCGCGGCGGCTCGCCGTCGCGGTGCCGAACAATGTGAACGGTCCGGATTCATCCCGGCGTGCCGCCGGTGGCGCTTCTTCGCCGAAATTTTGATCAACCTCTACACCCGCCGCCCCCCGCGCGCGCCACCCCGGCCGGGAGAAAGGGGAGTGACAGAACTGACAGTTTGGGTGGGACGGCAACAGAAACGAGTATCTTGCACTCCATGTGCAAGAACGCACGCAGGGTAAATGTAAGCCGGATGGCTCACAGGCCACCTCTTGCGCCCCGACTGTAGACCGATCTACCGCACTGGCCACTTCCGCCCCCTTGCTCCCAACCCATCCACCTCGCCTCGGGCCGCGCCGCGCGATCTCGGTCGAACACGCGCAATCTCGGGCGATCTCGGGGCCGCGCCGCGCTATCTCGGGCGATCTCGGAGCGTCGCTCGCCCCCCCCCCTGCCCCTTTGTCCAGGACACAGCTCTGCTGTCCAGGACACAGCTCTGAAGGACAGCCAGCGCCGCGACTGTGCCCGGCCAGCCATGATCACCCCCGCGGATCGCCTCCGCCCCCGCGCCCGTGCCGGCGCCGCCCTCCTGGCGGCAGTGGCGGGCCTCTTGCTGCTCGCTGGCTCGGTCGCTCACCTCCGCCCAGCGCACGTCGTTAGTGCCAGCGAAGGCGCGAGCAGCGAGGATGTCAGTGTTAACGGTGCGCCCGGCCCGCCGTCTCCCCCCTCCTCGCCGCCTTCCCTCGCCAAGCAGCTGTTGCTGGCGCTCGAGCAAGGTCCCATCGCTACGGACCTGGAACAGCTGCTTGAGGAACATCCGGCAGCGCCTTGGGCTGGCATCTTGGCCCAGCCCGCGCACGAGCAAGGTTATCAGATTCGCGGCGTCGACATCGAAAGGATATTTGCAAAACAGGGGGTCCAAGACATGACATATCAATTTATTTACCGGATGTACCCGGGCGCCATGTTGGAATGGTCCAACAACATGCCCCTCCTCTTCCTAATGTTCGGGAATCTCGGCTCTTCAACCCCCCCGCCGGGACCCTGGGACCCTAGGGACCCCGTTTTTAGGGCAATTGTAAGCCGCCTCGACAGAACCTGCTTCAAATGCCCTACGCCACCGAAGGTGGCTTCGTGCGAGGACATCGAGAACATCATCGCGGTCGGCGGCTGCGCGGCAGCGTGCACCGGCGCCGTCGAACGGCTGATGAAGACCTCCCTGGTGGGGCACGTTACCGAGCAGGACTGCTCCTATCTGCTCCCAGCTAATGTGGTCTCGCTCCTGCTGGACACGGGAGTGGATCCGAATACGCAGTACATGGGTATGACACCGCTGGCCCTGGCCGCCAGCAACGCCGCCCTCCCAATCGTGGAGGCGCTGATCGCGCACGGCGCTGACGTGAACGCGCCGTACGAGATCCGCGGCGCAGATGGTCGGAACACCACCGTCTCTCCCCTGGCGCTGGCAGCCATGACGGCATCCGGCAGGTCGGAGTCGCCCTGCCATGGAGGGGAGACGGTGCTGGAACAGGAGCGCTTTTACAGGAAGTGGAATCTCAAGAAGAGGTACCTGAAGAGCGAGGAGCAGGAGCAGGAAGAAGCGGCAAGTTGCCACGAGAGCGCCCTGCGCACGATGGAGGCACTCGCCGCTGCCGGAGCGGAGCTCTTGCCGTCCGATCCCGCCCAGCTGACTCCGCTTCAGGCGGCTCAGACCATGCACATGCGTTTCACCATGCCTGGCTACATGACCCCGTTGAAGGAGAATCCCTTGTACTCCCTCGGGCCGTCCTACTTCGTCGAGAACGTGCAGAACACGGCCAACGCCAGTCGCGACGTGGTCGACCTGCTTGTGCGGCTCACAGCCTCTCCCACACCCCGCCCCGCCCGGCGTCGATGATCTTTGAGTCGGCCGAGAATGGCGACGACCACTTGGCGCAGACGCTGATGGCCGCTGGGGCGGAGCAGACTGGGACGTTCCGCGCTTGGGACGGGCGGTGGGCTAGTAGGTGAGAGGGGGACCGGCGGGCTGGGGTCGGATCCGTTCGTCGATGAGTGGGCGCTGAACACTAACTGTGCGTGAGGGTGGATGGGTACTCGGAATGAGGAGTGTCTGATACGTTGTGGCAGTCTAGCGTGCGTGCAGCGGTAGCTCAGAGCCAGCTCTTGTCTGTCTGGGTTGCAGTATCGGGGCGCGGGATCGGGGTTCGGCGCGGGGTCGTGATGTTCCGGGCTCGCTGTCCATTCCCCTCACCTAACGTGACGAAACGGGTACTACATATTTATATACAGTCCGCTTGCTGGGAGGGAGTTCTCTAATTGTCGGTTCAAGACATTCAAGTCCACGTTGTCGTTGGGCTTGGGGCGTTGGAGTAAAGCCGTAAATAAAGCCGTAACGGCCGTCCCGCGTCCGGAGACTGGGGACCTTGTGTATCGCGCGCGCCTTGCGGGGGGGATTGCGGAAAAGAGGAACCTCTTAGCGCCATCGCCATGGTGCTGCAAGCCAGCGCCGGGCGACGACGACTTGGATCATTCCGCCTGGGGCCACAAAAGCTCGCTTGTCATGCAGTTCGAAAAGATCCGCGTTTTCCACGGCCGTGATTGTGCCGTGCCTTGTGTTGAGATGCGCTGCAACTTCCCACACCTAATCGTTGCCGTGAAAGTTTGGCAAGATTGATATCTCGACAACCTCTTCGGTGGATTTGTTTGGAGCTGACGGTAACTCACTCTATAGACATTACATTCATTGGAGTCAAGAGCAAGCTGTAGTAACTGATGGGATGAGGTATGCATTGGCTATGTCGATATCTGTTTGTGCATGTAAACCGGTTACGGGCAAGCATGACAAACTGTTTGTTTACAGTCAAACGGAAGGAAGAGCCCAAATCACTGTGTGTGCCACATTTCTTGTTGGCTTCTAAAAATCTCTCTCTCTCTCTCTCTCTCTCTCTCTCTCTCTCTCTCTCTCTCTCTCTCTCTCTCTCTCTCTCTCTCTCTCTCTCTCTCTCTCTATCCCTCTCCCTCTTTCTCCCCTCTTCCTTTCTTTCTTTTCCTCCCCCCTCTTCTCTTTTTTCTTCTCCCCCCCCCCTTTCTTCTCTTCCTCCTCTTCCTTTCCCCTCCCCCCTTTCCCCCTTCCCCCCTCCTTCTCTCTTCCCCCTCCTCTCCTTCTTCCTTTCCCCCTCTTTTCCTCCCTCTCCCCTCTCCTCTCCTCCCTTCCC